AGAGTTCCACAGGAAATAGGGCGATTTAATTACTCAGCGAGAATACATAATCTTTGTGAGTGTATCACGCTTCCTGGAGCTATGTGAAATGCTTGCAGCAAAGAAAGTGCAAGCCACAAATTTGGTGGCACCACCCCTTTAATACGCATTTTTGTTTGGAAACAAAATGATGAAACTCTCTGCAGTTATTTCGAAATATATCAGAGAGAGAAAACTGGGCAAACACGCATGCAGTGAATAAGCACGGAAACAAAAGTGCCTATTATTATAATTAAATACTGCACTACAGTTGGAGACAAAGGTCGGGGAGGACACATGTAACGAGGTACACAAGGTTACGCGTCTTTCCAGCTTCTTTTGTCCCTGTAACTATAGTGCAGTTTAAACATGCAAAACTAACTAGCCCAACACCTCACTTTGCTGAACTGTGTACATTTTGTGGAGATGAGGACAAAACCAAAAGGTCAAAGGATTGATATGCAGCAACTAGTTGTATGGAAACTTGTAAACATGAGCAGGCACAGGAGCACCTAAGGCCAGGATTATGTGGCTACCCCTTCCACTTGATTCTACGACCTTCTCCTTATCCATAGTTCACAGCAAGCTGATTACACTGAGAGTGCATTTTTGTGAGAAAAGTATCATGGCACAACAGATAACCTTGTACTATGCATTCTTTATAGGCTTTACAAACAACTACTAGATACGAGATTGTACACAAAAGAAGTGCAGTGCTTCCAAAGCAGTGGTTTAAGGATAGGAAAGATGCTTACTTCTGTAGCCCATTTGGGACCATGGCTTAGTACTATTGGGGGCAGCACGAATGGGAATGAAAGAGTTCAAAGGAGAGGCCACTTTCTCAAGACAGGAGTACCAACAACACAAAGTGTCAAGCCAGCGTGGCTCCCTTCCTATAACGAAAACCTCCAGGTGTCTAGGAGCACAGCGAATCGAATTCAGTACCGAATCAAATTGGAGGCCGAGGCCCTGAATACATTACCACTCAATTTTTTATTGCCTTTTTTGTTATTTAAGAGCTCGTTCCAGAGAAGCCAGTCGTGGATCACATGTACTTTCATGTGCGTGAAAAGGTCGTTACCATTTCGTAATAACATAAATTTAATATAGCTGGGGCTTTACAAGTCAAATCCACAACACAACCGTGAGGTACACCGTAGTGGGGAAGGCCAGATTAATTTCGATGCCCTGAAGTTCTTAAACCAGGGGGCGGAAACTTCCTATACCTCCCATGTGTTCACTCTCTGCAGCGGCGCAGCACCCCTTTTACCACTGGCAGTTGCCGGGCATCCTACTAGAAATAAATCATGAACACAAAATTTTCTATCATGACTTCACTGGTCAGCTCTCCAAATAGAGGGAAAGGACAAAAAAATCAAGAGCAGGAGGGTTGCTACAGAAGCACTTCTTTCTACTTCGCATGCAAGCAGAACGCACCCAAGGTCTATTCAAATAGGTCGCAAAAGTTCAGGCGAAAAGTGGTCCAGAAGCTATTGCCAACGGCAACAGCATGGAGAGTTATGGCAGCTGTGATTGAAGAGCGACTACGTGTAGAAGGAACTAACACTAATAGTGAAAAACCAAGTTTGGTTCAAAGTCGAAGCAATCGCTGTGTTTTACAAACAAAATTTATTTTCGTCGACAATATTATGTAGCAATAAGCAAAAAATTTGTCACAGTTTGTTATTACAATGTCAATTTTTTTTTCTAGCACCCTCTGCCCATGCTATTATTACTCAGTGCAGCTCTTGCAGTGAGCGGAAAGGCACGCTCATAAAATTCGTCTGCGATAACGCCCCCCTCACATGCTTTAGTGTTTTGCACTTGCTCGCGTTTTCTGGTGTGCGCGAAACTGTAATGTGCATTTTATCGTTGGTGAATGTCTTGAGCGCAATGTCCAACTGCCAGCAAAATGATGCGGATTACATTTAACCCCTTAACAGCTCTTTTTTTTTTTAAAGTTCCGCATAAAATGTGCTTATTTCTTTTATTGCTGATTTTTAATTTGATTGTACTAAAAAGTACCTAGTTCATGTTGAAAAAATATTTTTCCTACATACTTAGTTGAATCAAAAAAATAAAGTTTATTTGTAAACAATACATTGAAACCAGCTAGCTGCGTGCTGCTAATAAAATGTAAAAACCTTATAAACCAAACACTTAGAGATGCCACATCTTCACTTGTGTAGGCTAAGCACCCTTTGGGCATTTCCTACGAGAAGCTTTGGGGCTGCGTGGAAAATTTCAAAACACGGGATAATGCAAGGCAGCTTTACTGGCGGACCCTCGCACACGATAAATATCTTTACTCGAATCATCATAACTCCAAGAATATCGCGAAAAAATAGCATTTTTTTTTTTCTCCAAGAATACCGCGAAAAAAAATAGCATTTTTTTTCGAGTTCACAGACCAGTTATGCATGTGTTGCCGCCAACACACGCCGTCTCTCCTTGCCGCAGGAGAAAAATACATCCTCGAAAAAATGCTGCCATTTGGTGAATGACACACTATGAAAGCCATAAATGCACGCTTGCCCGTCTGAACACTAGAGGGGAGTACCTATTCCACTAGGACGATTTCTACTCGTCCAGAGCAGTTTGGTGACAGTTTGGGCAGGTTTGAGCTCTGCTCGTCTAAAGCAGTTAAGGGGTTAATGCCGAGTGCTTCGGTCGGTGCCCCAGGAAACGATATGCTGTGCAAGGATGCAGTAGCAGCAAAACGTATGCTTGGCGACCCATGTCTTCTAGATAAGAAACAAGCGCAATGGTTCCGAATACAGAGCTCGCTGGACTTCCATTCATTCCTGCGACCCGGTTTTCTTCTTGAGCATGCAGTGCCTACTATTATTCGCGGTGTCGGTGTGTAGATCACCAAGTTATCTCGCTACGATTCACATGTCTGCACTCGCATACGTAGCGGTAATTTATTGGAGCATAATGCAATAAAGAAACATAATGCAAGTAGTGTCCGCAGACTTTCTTGTGCTTACACCATTGTGTGCAGTGTAAAAAATTTGAGTTATTCTGACCATGGAACAGCTTGCCGTGAAATTCAAGTGTCTTAAATGCACGTAATCATCAATGACGAAACTGGGTTCCCTGGCTCCACGTTTTTCATCGGTGTGGCTCTTTGAGA